CCCTCAGTGTCCCCAATGTCCCCTCAGTGTCCCATTGTCCCCAATGTCCCTCACCTCTCTGGACACGGCCCGTTTGGGCTCCACCACCCTGCCATTGTCCCCAGTGTCCCCTCAGTGTCCCCATTGTCCCCAATGTCCCTCACCTCTCTGGACACGGCCCGTTTGGGCTCCACCACCCTGCCATTGTCCCCAGTGTCCCCTCAGTGTCCCCACTGTCCCCAATGTCCCTCAGTGTCCCCAATGTCCCTCACCTCTCTGGACACGGCCCGTTTGGGCTCCACCACCCTGCCATTGTCCCCAATGTCCCCTCAGTGTCCCCATTGTCCCCAGTGTCCCCTCAGTGTCCCCAATGTCCCCTCAGTGTCCCCATTGTCCCCAATGTCCCTCACCTCTCTGGACACGGCCCGTTTGGGCTCCACCACCCTGCCATTGTCCCCAGTGTCCCCTCAGTGTCCCCATTGTCCCCAATGTCCCTCACCTCTCTGGACACGGCCCGTTGGGCTCCACCACCCTGCCATTGTCCCCATTGTCCCCAATGTCCCCTCAGTGTCCCCAATGTCCCTCACCTCTCTGGACACGGCCCGTTTGGGCTCCACACCCTGCCATTGTCCCCAGTGTCCCCTCAGTGTCCCCATTGTCCCCAATGTCCCTCACCTCTCTGGACACGGCCCGTTTGGGCTCCACCACCCTGCCGTCCACCTTGTGTGGCCGCGCGTTCATGGCGGCATCGACCTCCTCCACCGACGAGTAGGTGACGAACCCGAACCCCCGCGAGCGCTTCGTGTTGGGGTCCCCGCATCACCTGGGGACAGGACAGGGACACCTCAGGGACATGGGGACAGACACAGGGACACGGGGACACGGGGACAGACACAGGAATGCCATGAACCCGAACCCCCGCGAGCGCTTCGTGTTGGGTCCCGCATCACCTGGGGACAGGGACAGGGACACATCAGGGACACGGGGACAGACACAGGGACACGGGGACAGACACAGGGACACGGGATACCCAGCCCCGCGAGCGCTTCGTGTTGGGGTCCCGCATCACCTGGGGACAGGGACAGACACAGGGACACCTCAGGGACACGGGGACAGACACAGGGACACGGGGACAGACACAGGGACACGGGGACACGGGGACAGACACAGGAATGCCATGAACCCGAACCCCCGCGAGCGCTTCATGTTGGGGTCCCGCATCACCTGGGGACAGCAGGGACACATCAGGGACACGGGGACAGACACGGGGACACGGGGACAGACACAGGGACACGGGATACCCAGCCCCGCGAGCGCTTCGTGTTGGGGTCCCGCATCACCTGGGGACAGGGACAGGGACACCTCAGGGACATGGGGACAGACACAGGACTGACACAGGGACATGGGGACAGACACAGGGACATGGGGACAGACACAGGGACACAGGGACACGGGGACAGACACAGGGACACGGGGTACCCAGCCCCGCGAGCGCTTCGTGTTGGGGTCCCGCACCACCTGGGGACAGCAGGGACACCTCAGGACACCTCAGGGACACCTCAGGGACACGGGGACAGACACAGGGACACAAAGAACATGTTTTTGGGGATCCCAGCCCCATTTTCAGTGACCCCAGCCCCGTTTTGGGGGTGCCCTCACCACGCAGTCGGTCAGCGTGCCCCACTGCTCCAAGGGGTCCCCAGCCCCATTTCGGGGGGTCCCAAGCCCATTTTTGGGTGCCCTCACCACACAATCAGTCAGCGTGCCCCACTGCTCAAAGTGGTTCCCAGCCCCATTTTGGGGACCCCAGCCCCATTTTGGGGTACCCCAGCCCCATTTCACAGATCCCAGCCCCATTTTGGGGTACCCCAGCCCCATTTTGGGGTACCCAGCCCCATTTCACAGATCCCAGCCCCATTTTGGGGTACCCCAGCCCCGTTTTCAGGTACCCCAGCCCCATTTCACAGATCCCAGCCCCATTTCACAAATCCCAGCCCCATTTCACAGATCCCAGCCCATTTTGGGGTACCCCAGCCCCGTTTTCAGGTACCCCCAGCCCCATTTCACAAATCCCAGCCCCATTTTGGGGTACCCAGCCCCATTTCACAGATCCCAGCCCCATTTTGGGTACCCCAGCCCCATTTTGGGGTACCCCAGCCCCATTTCACAAATCCCAGCCCCATTTTGGGGTACCCCAGCCCCGTTTCACAGATCCCAGCCCCATTTTGGGGTACCCCAGCCCCATTTTGGGGTACCCCAGCCCCGTTTTGGGGGTGCCCTCACCACGCAGTCGGTCAGCGTGCCCACTGCTCGAAGTGGCTGCGCAGGCTCTCGTCCGTGGTCTCGAAGCTCAGGCCCCCGATGAAGAGCTTGCGGAGCTGCTCCGGCTCCTTCGGGGACTGCGGGGCACACACGGGGGTCAGGGGACCCCAAAAACCCTCGCAGGGGTCGGGGGAACCCCAAAAACCCACAAAGGGCTCAGGGGAACCCCAAAACCCCCTTACACAGACCATGGGGGTCAGGGGAACCCCAAAAACCCTCGCAGGGCTCAGGGGAACCCCAAAAACCAGCACAGGGCTCAGGGGAACCCCAAAACCCCCTTACACAGACCATGGGGGTCAGGGGAACCCCAAAAACCCTCACAGGGCTCGGGGAACCCCAAAACCCCCTACACAGACCATGGGGGTCAGGGGAACCCCAAAAACGCCGCAAAGGGGTCAGGAGAACCCAAAACCCCCCCAAAAACGTCCAAAGGCTCAGGGGAACCCCAAAAACCCTCATACAGAACAATGGGGGTCAGGGGAACCCCATAACCCCTCAAAGGGCTCAGGGGAACCCCAAAACCCCACACAGGGGTCAGGGGAACCCCAAGAACCCCTTACAGAGACCAAGGGGGTCAGGGGAACCCCAAAGACCCCCCAAAATCCCCTGAAAGGAGCAGGAGGGGGTCAGGAGAACCTCAACATCCCCTGAAATGGGGTCAGGGGTGGGGGAACCCCAAAACAGCCCCCAAAATCCCCCTCACCCAGCTCATGGGGGTCTGGGGACCCCCAAAACCCCCTTACCTGGCTCATGAAGGGCTGACACCCCAAAATCCCTCCTGGGACCCAAAAAATCCCTCCTGGGACCCCCCATAATCCCAAAAGCCCTCCTGGGACCCCCAATAATCCCTCCTGGGACCCCCCATAATCCCAAAATCCCTCCTGGGACCCCCAATAATCCCTCCTGGGACCCCCCGTAATCCCAAAATCCCTCCTGGGACCCCCAATAATCCCTCCTGGGACCCCCCGTAATCCAAAATCCCTCCTGGGACCCCTCCATCCCCCAGCTCCTGACACCCCAACCCACCCCCAACAAATCCCCTCCCCCCCAGCCCCCTGAGCCCCCCCTGGACCCCATCCCTGCCCCAAAGGGACCCCCCCCAATCTCCCCCATCCCAAATTTTGGGGCCTCCTGAACCTGGAGCATCCCCAGCTCCCGCCTGGGGGGGACCAGCAAACCCCCAACCCAAATTTCTCACCCCCCAAACCCCCGAATCTCTCCCCCAGCCCCCATTTTTGGGGCCTACCAGTCCCTCCATCCCCTAATTCCGAGCCCCCCAACCCTAAATTTGAACTCCCTAACCCCACAAAGCCCCCAGCCCTTATTTTTAACCCTCCCAAGCCCCCATACCCCACATTTCAACCCCCCCCAACCCAAATTTTCCACGTCCCAGACCCCCAAATCTCTCCCCCAGCCCCCATTTTTGGGGCCTCCCACTCCCCTCAGCGCCCCCATCCCCTATTTGTGACCCCTCCATCCCCCATCTTTGACCCCCAACCCTAAATTTGAACTCCCTCACCCCCCCCGCATTAATTTTTAACCCTCCCACCCCAAGTTTTACACCCCCGACCCCAAATTCCCCCCTCCCCACCCGTTATTTCCAAGACCCCCGCGTGTCCCCCTCCCCATATTTGTGTGTCCCCCCCACCCCGGGTGACACAAAGGACGCGCACGTGGCCGCGGGAGCGCGCGGGGGGGGGGGGCGGTGGGTGAGGGGGGGTCGCGCATGCGCCTGAAGGGGGGAGGGAGGATGAGGGGAGGGTCTGTGGGACCACCCCCCCCCCCCCCCACCAAAATGGATCCTGAGGGAGGGAGGAGGAGGGGGAGCCCCGTGTGTGACCCCCCCCCAAAATCAGCTCTGTGGGATCCCCCCTCAAAATGGAGCCGGAGGGAGGGGGAGGGGATGGGGGGGGCTCTGTGGGACCCCCCCCCAAAATGGATCATGAGGGGGGGAGGGGGAGCCCTGTGTGTGACCCCCTCCCCCCCCCAATGGCGCCTGCGCGGGTGAGGGGAGGGGGGGGGCTCGCGTTGCGCAGGCGCACTGAGCTCCCGCGGCCCGCCAGGCGGCGGCGGCGGCGGGGGCGGCGCGCTGAGGGTGGGGGGGGGGGACACGGGCGGCCGGGATTGATAAAAAACCACCGCGCGCGGATGGGCGAGCGGGACCGCGGTGCGGGCGCTGACCTCGGCCTTGGCCATGGCGGCGGCGCGGGGCGGGGCGGGCCGGGCGGTGGCGGCAGCGCGCGATGCTCCCTCTGCGAGGGCCGACACGGAAAGGGGCCGAGCGACGCGAGCGCCGCCGCCTCACCCCGCCGCCCCCGCCGCCCTCACGGCCCCCGCGCCGCCTCCCATTGGCTGACGCCTCGCGGCGCCGCCGCCTCATTGGGCGGCTGGACGAGCTCCGCCCACAGTGGCGTCGCTGATTGGTTGATCCAAGAAACGTCCCGCCCCCGCGCCGCGGTGATTGGGGAGAGTTGCTGTCGCCACGCCCCGCGCGGCTTTTCCCGCTCCGGCCCGGAGACTCCCCGGCGCGCCGCGGATTGGTTGGAGAGGCGGAGGGCCCGCCCCCAGAGAGGCGTTCATTGGCTAGGCGCGTGGTGGGACGGTCCCCATTGGCGGGCGCGGCCGTCGCTCAGCGCGGGCCGCCGGCGGGCCCAGCGCAGCTCGGCGAGAGCGGCGCGGCGGGAGCAGAGCGGGGCGGCGGCGGCGACTCCCGGCGGCGGCGAGAAGGGGCCGCCCGCCCGCCGGCCCCAAGGTGCGCCCGGAGCAGCGCATGCGCCGATCGCGGTGGGCTCTGGGGAGGGGGGAAAGGCGGGCGGACGCATGCGCGGAGCGCGGCCGGCGGCGCCTGCGCGCTGCGGGCGGTTTTGGCGGGCGGAGCGCGGAGCGGCGGCAGCTCGGAGCGGCGGCCGAACCGCGGCGGACGGGCCCGCGCCAGAGCCGCTCCCCGCGCAGGTAGCGCCGGCGGCGGGCGGCGGATGAATGGGCGGCAGCGTCGGGGCGGGTCCGCCGCTATGACGGACAGGCGCGGTGGCCAATGGATGCTGGCGGGAGGCGGGGCCACGCGCGGAGTGACGGGCGCGGTATTTAATCGCTACAAGCGGGAGGTGGGGCGGCGCGTGGATTGTCAGGCGCTCTGACCAATAGCGGCGCAGCGAAGGCGGGGCGACGCTTAGAGCGACGGTTCCACCGCCCAATAGTGGCGCGACGGGGTTGTGGCGAGCGGCGAGGCGCTCAGCCAATCACCGCGCGAGCGCGCGGCTGCTCTGACCAATCGTGTACCGCGGCGCGCTCCTCGCCCCGCCCCCAGGCCCGCGCGCCGGGCCCCTCAGCGGCGCTTTGAACCCGTATTTGCGGCTTTTTACCCCAAAATTGCGGGTTCTGCCCTCAAACCGCCGCGTCCCCCCTCAGACCGCCGCTCCCCGCCTCACACCGGCGGCTTTTCCCTCAGAGCTGCGGATTTCTGCCCTGGAGCGGCGCTTTTGGCCTCAGCGCGGCGCGCTCCCTTTGTTCCCTCAGGATTCCCGGGCGCGGGATCCGGGAGCGGCGCCCCGGGGGCTCCCCCCGCGCGTTTTCCCTTCCTAAATTCGCCTTTTCCCACCCAAACCGGCGCCTTTTCCCTCAGGAATCCACCCCAGAGCCTCCCGGTTCCCGCCAGAATCCCCGGCAGGAAATTCCAGCCCGGAGCGAGGAATTCCCCGCGTCCCTCGCGGGGCTGCGGTTGGCAGAACGAAATCCGCTCAAATCCCGCCCGGAGGGAGGGAAAATCCCCAGCTGGGGTTTTCTTAAATCGACCTTTTTTTTTTTAATCGTCCTCGTTTTTAAGGGGTTTAGCCCAAATTCCATTTGGGCGCTCCTAAATCCCCCCTCACTTTTAGGGGATTTATTCCAAATTCTGTTTTGCTGTGCTTAAATTTTCTGGGTTTTTTTTAGGGGTTTTCTGCTCAAATCGTGTTTCTTTGGGCCTAAATCCCTGCTGGTTTTTAGGAATCGGCCCCTACTGTGCTGCCCCCTTGGGATTTCACTTTGGGGGTCCCAAAATGACCCCAAATCCTTTTTAGGGATCTCATGGTGTTCCCAAATCCCTCCTTGAGGATTCCAAAGTTATCCCAAATCCCTTTTTGGGATCCCAGAAATTACTCCAAATTCCTCTTGAGAATTCCGAAATGACCCCAAATCCCTATTTGGGATCCCCTGGTGTCCCCAAATCCCTTTTTTGGGATCCCAAAAATGACCCCAAATCCCTCATGGAGGTCCCAAAATGGCCCCAAATCCCTCATGGAGGTCCCAAGATGTCCCCAAATCCCTCTTGGGGTCCCCAAGTCACCCCCATGTCCCTTTAAGGGCACTCCAGGATCCCCAAATGTCCCTTTGGGGGTGCTGAGATGAACCCAAATCCCCCCCCGAGCCTTCCCCTGTCCCCCCTGGGTGACAACGCCGTGTCCGCAGTGCTGCGCTGTGGGCAGGAGGAGCCCCGGGGTGACATTGTGTGACCCATGGTGACATTCCCTGTGCCAGGGGGACATTGTGTGACCCATGGTGACATTCCTGTCATTGTCCCCAGAGCGGTGGCTGCGCTATGGGCAGGAGGAGCCGGCGGGCAGTGCCCTGGTGACACTGTGTGACCCACGGTGACACTGTGTGACCCATGGTGACATTTTCACGGTGACATTGCTGTCCCTGTCATTGTCCCCAGAGCGGTGGCTGCGCTATGGGCAGGAGGAGCTGGCGGGCAGTGCCCTGGTGACACTGTGTGACCCGTGGTGACACTGTGTGACCCACGGTGACACTGTGTGACCCATGGTGACATTTTCACGGTGACATTGCTGTCCCTGTCATTGTCCCCAGAGCGGTGGCTGCGCTATGGGCAGGAGGAGCCGGCGGGCAGTGCCCTGGTGACACTGTGTGACCCGTGGTGACACTGTGTGACCCATGGTGACACTGTGTGACCCATGGTGACATTCTCACGGTGACATTGCTGTCCCTGTCCCTGTCCCCAGAGCGGTGGCTGCGCTATGGGCAGGAGCAGCCGGCGGGCAGTGCCAGGGTGACACTGTGTGACCTATGGTGACGCTGTGTGACCCACGGTGACACTGTGTGACACTCCTGTCCCTGTCCCCAGAGCGGTGACTGCGCTATGGGCAGGAGGAGCCGGCGGGCAGTGCCCTGGTGACACTGTGTGACCCACGGTGACACTGTGTGACCCACGGTGACACTGTGTGACACTCCTGTCCCTGTCCCCAGAGCGGTGGCTGCGCTATGGGCAGGAGGAGCCGGCGGGCAGTGCCCTGGTGACACTGTGTGACCCACGGTGACGCTGTGTGACCCACGGTGACACTGTGTGACACTCCTGTCCCTGTCCCCAGAGCGGTGGCTGCGCTATGGGCAGGAGGAGCCGGCGGGCAGTGCCCTGGTGACACTGTGTGACCCACGGTGACGCTGTGTGACCCACGGTGACACTGTGTGACACTCCTGTCCCTGTCCCCAGAGCGGTGGCTGCGCTATGGGCAGGAGGAGCCGGCGGGCAGCCGACAGCTCGTCCTCGGGGGAGGAGGAGGAGTATGTGGTGGAGAAGGTTCTGGACCGGCGCGTGGTGAGGGGCCAGGCCGAGTACCTGCTCAAGTGGAAGGGCTTCTCCGAGTGAGTGACAGCGCGGGGACAACGCAGGGGACAGCGCGGGGAGGGGGGCACAGCGCCCTGAGTGTCCCCTGAGTGTCCCCTGACCCTGTCAGTGACAGCAGGGACAGCATGGGGAAAGGGCACAGCGCCCTGGGTGTCCCCTGACTGTGTCCCCGGGTCTCCCCTGTCCCCAGGTGTCCCTGGATGTCCCTGACCATGTCCCTGGCTGTCCCTGAGTGTCCCTGAATGTCCCCTGGGTGTCCCTGACCATGTCCCTGGCTGTCCCTGGGTGTCCCTGGCTGTCCCCTGGGTGCCTCTGAGTGTTCCCGACCGTGTCCCCTGTGTCTGACCATGTCCCAAGGGAGCACCACACGTGGGGGTGTCCCTGGATGTCCCCTGGGTGCCCCTGGATGTTCCCTGGATGTTCCCTGTGTGTCCCTGGTGTCCCCTGTCCCTGTCCCCAAGGGAGCACCACATGTGGGGGTGTCCCTGGATGTCCCCTGGGTGCCTCTGGATGTCCCCTGAGTGTTCCCTGGGTGTCCTGGATATTCCCTGGGTGTCCCTGGTGTCCCCTGTCCCCTGGGTGTCCCCTGACCGCGTCCCTGTCCCCGCAGGGAGCACAACACGTGGGGGTGTCCCTGGATGTCCCATCAGTGTCCCCACGTGTCCCTGGTGTCCCCTGACCGCGTCCCTGTCCCCGCAGGGAGCACAACACATGAGGGTGTCCCTGGATGTCCCATCAGTGTCCCCAGGTGTCCCCTGTCCCCTGACCCTGTCCCTGTCCCCGCAGGGAGCACAACACGTGGGGTGTCCCTGGATGTCCCATCAGTGTCCCCACGTGTCCCTGGTGTCCCCTGACCGCGTCCCTGTCCCCGCAGGGAGCACAACACGTGGGAGCCCGAGAAGAACCTGGACTGCCCCGAGCTGATCTCGCAGTTCCTGCGCAAGGACCGCAGGATGAGGGACATGAGGGACGTCAGGGACAGCGAGGGGACGCGGCCCCGCGAGCGCCCCGAGGGCGCCAAGCGCAAGGGACTGCCCGGGGAGGACCAGAGGGCCAAGAAGAAGAGGGAGGTGAGGGGACAGGGGGACATGGGGACAACGGGAGGGGACACGGGGACATGGGGACAATGGGCTGGGGACACGGGGATGGGCACACTGGGAGGTGAGAGGGGACATGGGGACACGGGGATGGGGACACAGGCATGGGGATGGGCACACTGGGAGGGGACACCTGGGACAGGGACAATGGGAGGTGAGGGCACATGGGGACACGGGGATGGGGACACGGGATGGGACATGGAGATAGGATGGGGACAGGGGAATGGGGACAGGGACACTGGGAGGTGAGAGGGGACATGGGGACACGGGGATGGGGACACAGGCATGGGGATGGGCACACTGGGAGGGGACACCTGGGACAGGGACAATGGGAGGTGAGGGGGACATGGGGACAAGGGGCTGGGGACACTGGGATGGCGACAGGGGAATGGGGACAGGGACACTGGGAAGTGACAGGGGACAGGGGGACACTGGGAGGGGACACCTGGGACAGGGACACTGGGAGGTGAGGGCACATGGGGACACGGGGATGGGGACACGGATGGGGACATGGAGATGGGATGGGGACAGGGGAATGGGGACAGGGACACTGGGAGGTGAGAGGGGACAGGGGGACATGGGGACACTGGGAGGGGACACCTGGGGACAGTGGGAGGGGACGGGAACATGGGGATGGGGACACAGGAAGGGGGACAGGGACACAGGGAGGTGACACTGGGATGGGATGGGGACAGGGGGAAGGGGACACAGGGAGGAGACAGAGACACAGGGAGGGGACAGAGACATGGGGATGGGGATGGGGACGGGAGCCTGGACTGCTGGAATGGCCAATCCCATTCCCAAACCAATCCCATTCCCCAAACCAATCCCATTCCCCAAACCAATCCCATTCCCAAACCAATCCCATTCCCCAAACCAATCCCATTCCCAAACCAATCCCATTCCCAAACTGATCCCATTCCCCAAACCAATCCCATTCCCAAACCGATCCCATTCCCCAAACCCTCCCTTTTCCCAAACCATCCCATTCCCCAAACCAATCCCATTCCCAAACCAATCCCATTCCCCAAACCAATCCCATTTCCCCAAACCAATCCCATTCCCCAAACCAATCCCATTCCCCAAACCAATCCCATTCCCCAAACCCTCCCTTTTCCCAAACCAATCCCATTCCCAAACCAATCCCATTTTTCCCAAACCAATCCCATTCCCCAAACCAATCCCATTCCCCAAACCAATCCCATTCCCCAAACCATCCCTTTTCCCAAACCATCCCTTTTCCCAAACCATCCCTTTTCCCAAACCAATCCCATTTCCCCAAACCAATCCCATTCCCCAAACCAATCCCATTCCCCCAAACCAATCCCATTCCCAAACCATCCCATTCCCCAAACCAATCCCATTCCCCAAACCAATCCCATTTTCCAAACCCTCCCTTTTCCCAAACCAATCCCATTCCCAAACCAATCCCATTCCCAAACCATCCCATTCCCCCAAACCAATCCCATTCCCAAACCATCCCATTCCCCAAACCAATCCCATTCCCCAAACCCTCCCATACCCCAAACCATCCCTTTTCCCAAACCAATCCCATTCCCCAAACCAATCCCATTTCCCAAACCGATCCCATTCCCCAAACCCTCCCATACCCCAAACCATCCCATTCCCCAAACCAATCCCATTCCCCAAACCAATCCCATTTCCCAAACCGATCCCATTCCCCAAACCCTCCCATTTTCCCCAAACCCTCCCTTTTCCCAAACCCTCCCATTCCCCAAACCAATCCCATTTTCCCAAACCAATCCCATTTTTCCCAAACCAATCCCATTCCCCAAACCAATCCCATTTCCCCAAACCCTCCCTTTTTCCCAAACCAATCCCATTTCCCCAAACCAATCCCATTTTCCCAAACCCTCCCTTTTCCCAAACCAATCCCATTCCCAAACCAATCCCATTCCCCCAAACCAATCCCATTCCCCAAACCAATCCCATTTTCCCCAAACCCTCCCATTCCCCAAACCCTCCCATTTCCCCAAACCAATCCCATTTTCCCAAACCAATCCCATTTTCCCCAAACCAATCCATTTTTCCCAAACCCTCCCATTTCCCCAAACCAATCCCTTTTCCCAAACCAATCCCATTTTTCCCAAACCCTCCCATTTTCCCCCCAAACCCCAGAGCAACGACATCGCCCGCGGCTTCGAGCGGGGGCTGGAGCCCGAGAAGATCATCGGGGCCACCGACTCCTGCGGGGACCTCATGTTCCTCATGAAGTGGTGAGGCCACCTCCTCGCTGTCCCCCGTGTCCCCTGGCACCCCCGGCTCCTGTCCGTGTCCCCTGTTTGTGTCCTTGTCCCCCAGTTCATCCCTTTGTCCCCGGTTCCTGTCCATGTCCCCCAGTTCCTGTCCGTGTCCCCTGTTTGGGTCCTCATGTCCCCAGGTCATGTTTGTGTCCCCCAGTTCCTGTCTGTGTCCCCAGTTTGTCCCTTTGTCCCCAGTTCATGTCTGTGTCCCCAGTTTGTGTCCATGTCCCCCAGTTCATTCCTTTGTCCCCAGTTTGTGTCCCCAGTTTGTCCCTTTGTCCTCAATTTGTGATCCCAATTTCTGTCCCCAATTTATCCCCTTGTCCCCAGTGTGTCCCCAGTTTGTGACTCCAGTTTGTCCCTTTGCCCTCAATTTGTGTCCCAGTTTATCCCCGTGTCCCCAGCCTGTCCCCGTGTCCCCACATTGTCACGCCAGCCTGTCCCTGTGTCCCCACATTGTCACCCCAGCCTGTCCCTGTCCCCGCAGGAAGGACACGGATGAGGCTGACCTGGTGCTGGCCAAGGAGGCCAACCTCAAGTGTCCCCAGATTGTCACCCCAGCCTGTCCCCATGTCCCCAGGGTGTCCTGTCCCCGTGTCTCCAGCCTGTCCCAGTGTCCCCAGATTGTCACCCCAGCCTGTCCCTGTGTCCCCCGTTTGTGTCCCCATGTCCCCAGATTGTCACCCCAGCCTGTCCCTGTGTCCCCCGTTTGTGTCCCCAGCCTGTCCCCATCCTGTCCCTGTGTCCTCAGATTGTCACCCCAGCCTGTCCCTGTGTCCCCAGCCTGTCCCCATGTCCCCAGATTGTCACCCCATGCTGTCCCTATGTCCCCAGCCTGTCTTGTCCCAGTGTCCCCAGCCTGTCCCTGTGTCCCCCGTTTGTGTCCCCATGTCCCCAGATTGTCACTGCAGCCTGTCCCCATGTCCCCAGGGTGTCCTGTCCCCGTGTCCCCAGGCTGTCCCAGTGTCCCCAGGGTGTCCTGTCCCCGTGTCTCCAGCCTGTCCCAGTGTCCCCAGATTGTCACCCCATCCTGTCCCCCTGCGTCCCCCGTTTGTGTCCCCATGTCCCCAGATTGTCACCCCATCCTGTCCCCCTGTGTCCCCCGTTTGTGTCCCCATGTCCCCAGATTGTCACCCCATCCTGTCCCCCTGTGTCCCCCGTTTGTGTCCCCATGTCCCCAGATTGTCACCCCATCCTGTCCCCCTGTGTCCCCCGTTTGTGTCCCCATGTCCCCAGATTGTCACCCCATCCTGTCCCCCTGTGTCCCCCGTTTGTGTCCCCATGTCCCCAGATTGTCACCCCATGCTGTCCCCCTGTGTCCCCCGTTTGTGTCCCCATGTGCCCAGATTGTCACCCCATGCTGTCCCCCTGTGTCCCCCGTTTGTGTCCCCATGTCCCCAGATTGTCACCCCATCCTGTCCCCCTGTGTCCCCCGTTTGTGTCCCCATGTCCCCAGATTGTCACCCCATGCTGTCCCCCTGCGTCCCCGCAGGAAGGACACGGACGAGGCCGACCTGGTGCTGGCCAAGGAGGCCAACCTCAAGTGTCCCCAGATTGTCATCGCGTTCTACGAGGAGCGCCTGACGTGGCACGCGTACCCCGAGGACGGCGAGCCCAAGGAGCGGGACCCCCCCCGCAGCTGAGCCCCCTCCCCCTGTACAGACCCCCGGCCCCGTCCCTGTCCCCCTGTCCCCGTCCCCGTCCCCTCCCGTGTCCCCGCCCTGCCCGGAGTGTCCCCAGCCCGGTGTCCCCAGCCCGGGGCGCTCTGGGGGTGGCCCCGGTTTTGGGGTTTTTTACAGTCGGTGTTTCCAGCCGGGCCCCCCCGGGGTGTCCCCGTGTCCCCCCTGTCCCCCCTGTCCCCTCTGTCCCCACCCAGCGTTGTCCCCAACGCCCGGATTTGCTCCCAATAAACAACGGTCACTTTTCAGAGCCGCCACCGCCGGGCTGGGGACAGCGATGGCACCGGCGTGGTGTCACCAACGTGGCACGGTGTCCCCTCAGTGTCACCAGCAGGGCCTGGTGTCACCAACGTGGCACGGTGTCCCCTCAGTGTCACCAGGATGGCCTGGTGTCCCCTCAGTGGCACCAGCATGGCCTGGTGTCCCTCCAGTGCCACCAGCAGGGCACAGTGTCACCAACATGGCCTGGTGTCCCCAACATAGCCTGGTGTCACCAGCATGGCCTGGTGTCCTCTCAATGTCACCAGCATGGTCCGGTGTCCCTCCAGTGCCACCAGCAGGGCACAGTGTCACCAGCGTGGCCTGGAGACCCCAACATAGCCTGGTGTCACCAGCATGGCCTGGTGTCCCCTCAGTGTCACCAGCATGGTCCGGTGTCCCTCCAGTGCCACCAGCGGGGCACAGTGTCACCAGCGTGGCCTGGAGACCCCAACATAGCCTGGTGTCACCAGCAGGGCCTGGTGTCCCTCCAGTGTCCCCCAGTGTCACCATTGTGACCTGCTGTCCCCAACATTGTCTGGTGTCACCAGCAGGGCCTGGTGTCCCCTCAGTGTCCCCAGCATGGCCCGGTGTCCCCCCGGTGACCCCCGGTGCCCCCTGTCGGTGACAGCGGGCGCTGCGCGGGGACAGCGAGGGGACAAAGGGGACCCGGGGACAGCGGGGGTGGCACTGGGGGGACAAAGGGGACCCCTGGGGTGGGGCAGGGGCGATCGGGGGACACCGCAGTGACACAGGAGGGACCTTGGAACGTGTGGGTGACACGGGGAGGGGGCTTGGGGACACCTTGGTGGCTCTCGGGGGATTGTTGGGGACACCGCGGTGACACGGGGAGGGTTCGGGGACACTTGGGGGACAATGGAGGAGGGGTTGGGGACACTGCGGTGACACTGTGGGGGTTTGGGGACACTCCGGTGACACCGGGAGGGATTTGGGGACATTGCGGTGACACCGGAGGGATTTGGGGACACTCCGGTGACACTGAGGGGGCTTTGGGACGCTCCGGTGACACCGAGGGGGGTTGGGGACACTCCGGTGACACCGGGAGGGATTTGGGGACATTGCGGTGACACTGAGGGGGCTTTGGGACGCTCCGGTGACACCGAGGGGGGGTTGGGGACGCTCCGGTGACACCGAGGGGGGTTGGGGACACTGCGGTGACACCGGGGGGGGGTTGGGGCGCTCCCTCCCGTTCCCGCCAGGGGGCGCCCTCGCGCCGCCGCAGCTCCGCGTGCCCCGCCCCCCCCGTGGGAAGGGGCGTGGCCTGAGCAGACCCGCCCCCTGCCGTGAGCGGCCCCGAGTGCCCCGCGCGTGTTTGGGACCCCGGGGGGAACTGGGTGAGATTTGGGGGGGTTTTGGGGGGTTTGGGGATGTCTGGGGGGGATTTGGGGGCTCCGGGTGGGATTTTGGGGGGGATTTGGGGGATGTTTTCCCGCCGCAAAGCACGATGGGAAACTCCGCGCGCAGACAAAGGACCGGGCCACGCGCGCGGGGCACGCCGGGAAGGGGAAGGGGCGGGGCCTGGGGGGGGCAGGGGGCGGGGCGCGGCGGACGCGGCGCGTGCTCGAGGTGGGCTCGCGGCGGCCGTGACGTCACCGGGGGGAGCCGTGTGTGACGTCACGGGGGAGCGGGGCTGGGGGAGGGGGGGCATGGGGGGGGGGAGGGGGGCGGGACACGAGCAGAATGCCCCGCCCCCCCCGGGAGGGGTCCGCTGTCACCTGTGTCACCCCCCCGGGGTCTGCGGTCACCTCTGTCCCTCCTGGGGGCTCCCCTGTCCTCCCCCGAGGGTCCGCTGTCCCCTCCAGAGCTCTCCTGTCCCTTCTGTCCCCTCCCGGGCTCCGGTGTCCCCTCTGTCACCCCCCCGGGGTCTGCGGCCACCTCTGTCACCTCCCCGGGCTCCGGTGTCCCCCTGGGGCTCCGGTGTCCCCTCTGTCACCCCCCGGGTTCTGCTGTCCCCTCCAGGGATCCCCTGTCGCTTTTGTCACCTCCCGGGGCTCCCCTGTCCCCTCTGTCCCTCCTGGGGCCTCCCCTGTCCCCTCTCTCGCCCCCCTGTCCCCCGTGTCCCCTTCCGGGGCTCCCTTGTCCCTTCTGTCCCTCCAGGTCCACTGTGTCACCTCCCCTGTCCCCTCTGTCACCCCCGGGTCTCCCGTGTCCCCCCCAAGGCTCCCCTGTCCCTTCTGTCCCCCCCAGGTCCCCTGTGTCACCTCCCCTGTGTCACCTCCCCTGTGTCACCTCCCCTGTCCCGCAGGCGATGGGGGATGGAGCGGGAGGAGGAGGAGGAGGAGGCGGAGGAAGGAGCGGGGGCTGCGGCTGAGGAAGGAGCGGGGGCTGCGGCGGCCGATGCTGCCGGTGCTGAGGATGCTGCTGGTGCTGAGGATGCTGAGGATGATGATGATGAAGCTGCGGATGCTGAGGATGATGATGGTGCTGAGGAAGGCGTGGCGGGCCGGTTCCTGGCGCTGCAGCGCGCGCTCTCTCCGAGCGGCTCCGGGCGCTGCCGCCGCCGGGCCCGCCCGTGGCCGTGGTGTACGCGCCGCTCGAGTACGCGTGGGAGCCGCACCGGAGCTTCGTGCGCCGCTTCCTGCGCTCGCCCAAGGCCGTGCTGTTCCTGGGCATGAACCCCGGCCCGTTCGGCATGGCGCAGACCGGGGTGGGTACCCCAAAAACCCCAAACACCCCAAAAACCCCAAATCCATGAACCCCGGCCCGTTCGGCATGGCGCAGACCGGGGTGGGTACCCCAAAAACCCCAAACACCCCAAACACCCCAAATCCATGAACCCCGGCCCGTTCGGCATGGCGCAGACCGGGGTGGGTACCCCAAAAACCCCAAACACCCCAAACACCCCAAATCCATGAACCCCGGCCCGTTCGGCATGGCGCAGACCGGGGTGGGTACCCCAAAAACCCCAAACACCCCAAAAACCCCAAATCCATGAACCCGGCCCGTTCGGCATGGCGCAGACCGGGGTGGGTACCCCAAAAACCCCAAACACCCCAAAAACCCCAAATCCATGAACCCCGGCCCGTTCGGCATGGCGCAGACCGGGGTGGGTACCCCAAAAACCCCAAACACCCCAAAAACCCCAAATCCATGAACCCCGGCCCGTTCGGCATGGCGCAGACCGGGGTGGGTACCCCAAAAACCCCAAACACCCCAGAACACCCCAAATCCATGAACCCCGGCCCGTTCGGCATGGCCCAGACCGGGGTGGGTACCCCAAAAACCCCAAACACCCCAAACACCCCAAATCCATGAACCCCGGCCCGTTTGGGACGGCTCAAACCGGGGTGGGCACCGGGAGAGGGGCTGGGGGGGGCTCGGTGCCTCCCCTGAGGTCCCAAAGGGGAGGAAATGAGGCTGGGGAGGATCAGGGGCCACGCAGAGGAGGGAAACTGAGGCACGGGGGGGGGGGGGGGTCCCAGTCCATCCCATGGAGGGAAACTGAGGCACGGGGGGGTGGTCCCAATCCATCCTATGGGGTCCTAGGGGAGGGAAACTGAGGCACAGGGCGGGTCCCAGTCCATCCCACGGAGGGGGGGGAAACTGAGGCACGGGGCGGGTCCCAATCCATCCCATGGGATCCTCGGAGAGGGAAACTGAGGCACAGGGGGGGTCCCAGTCCATCCCACGGAGGGAAACTGAGGCACGGGGGTGGCTCTGCCCGGCCCGGGGCTGTCCCCCCCGGTGTCCCCCCCCGTATCCCCCGGCCCTGACGCCCCCCGGCCGCCCCGCAGGTGCCGTTCGGCGAGGCGTGGCACGTCCGCGAGTGGCTGCGGGTGTCGGGCTCGGTGCGGCGGCCGCCCCTCGAGCACCCCAAGCGCCCGGTGCTGGGGCTGCGCTGCCCGCGGGCCGAGGTGAGCGGCGCCCGCTTCTGGGGGCTCGTCCGCAGCCTCTGCCCCGACCCCCGCGCCTTCTTCCGCCACTGCTTCGTGCACAACCTCTGCCCGCTGCTCTTCCTCGCCGCCTCGGGCCGCAACGTGGCCCCTCCGGAGCTGCGGGCGGCGGAGCGGGAGCGGCTGCTGGCGCCGTGCGGGGCCGCGCTCGCCGCCGCCGTGCGGGCGCTGCGGGTGCGCCTCGTGGTGGCGCTGGGCCGCGTGGCCGAGCTGCGGGCGCGCCGCGCGCTGCGGGACGCGGGCGTGGCCGTGCCCGTGGCCTGGATCCCGCACCCGTCCCCGCGCAACCCCCGCGCCAACCGCGGCTGGGAGGGGGGAGGCGCGGGGAGAGGCTGCGGGAGCTGGGGGTGCTGCGGCTCCTGGGGGTGCGGGACCCCGGGGGGGATGGAGGGAGGGACCGGTTTGGCCTCTTGGGGACCGGGGGTGAGGGGTCCCTGCCCCAGTTTGACCTCTTGGGGACTGGGGAAAGTGGGGCTGGAGGGGGCCTGGAGCAGTTTGGGACTGGAGGAAATGGGGCTGGAGGGGGCCTGGAGCAGTTTGGGACTGGGGAAAGCGGAGTTGGGGGGCACCTGGACCAGTTTGACCAGTTGGGAACTGGGGAAAGTGGAGCTGGAGGGGGCCTGGAGCAGTTTGGGACTGGGGAAAAGGGGGTTAGGGGGTCCCTGCCCCAGTTTGACCAGTCTGGGACTGGAGAAGATGGGGCTGGTGGGTCTCTGCCCCAGTTTGGGACTGGGAAAAGCGGGGATGGAGCATCCCTGGACCAGTTTGGGACTGGGGAAAATGGGGTTGGGGAGGGCCTGGACCAGTTGGGAACTGGGGGGATGAGTGTTGACGGGGCCCTGCCTCAGTTTGACCAGTTTGGAACTGGAAAAAAGGGGATTAGGAGGTCCCTGGCCCAGTTTAGGACTGGGAAAAAGGGGGTTCGGGGGTCCCTGCCCCAGTTTGGGAACTGGGGAGAAGGGGATTGATGGGGCCGTGCCTCAGTTTCCCCGCTCGGAGCAGGGTTTAGGGCGACACTACAGGGCAGAGGGTGACCCCCTGCCTCAGTTTCCCCGCTCGGGGGTGGTGCTTGGGGGGCGGGGGATGGGCCCTGCCTCAGTTTCCCTTTAGGAAAAAGGGGGGGGAGGGTTCGTGGGTCGTTTTCTGTGCAATTCTGGAATTAATAAAGGCGAGAATTGGTAAAAAAAGCAAGGAAAAAGTCGTTGTGGAGAACCAACTTCCTTCCTTCCTTCCTTCCTTCCTTCCTTCCTTCCTTCCTTCCTTCCTTCCTTCCTTCCTTCCTTCCTTCCTTCCTTCCTTCCTTCCTTCCTTCCTTCCTTCCTTCCTTCCTTCCTTCCTTCCCAAAAATCCCCCCCCAAAATCCCAGTTTCTCCCCCAAAATCCCAATTTTTAGTAATTTTTGGTATAAAGGTTAAAACGTGGAAAATGCTGAGGTAAAAACATGGGAAATGCTGAGGTCAAAACGTGGAAAATGCTGAGGTAAAAACGTGGAAAATGCTAGAGATAAAACGTGGAAAATGCTGAGGTTAAAATGTGGAAAATGCTTGGAAAAGGTTAAAACACAGAAAATGTTAAGGTTAAAACATGAAAAATGCTGAGGTAAAAACATGGGAAATGCTGAGGTTAAAACATGGAAACTGCTGAGGTAAAAACATGGAAAATTAGAAGGTTAAAACATGGAAAATGCTGAGGTTAAAACGTAGAAAATGCTGAGGTAAAAACGTGGAAAATGCTAAAGATAAAACGTGGAAAATGCTGAGGTTAAAATGTGGAAAATGCTTGGAAAAAGGTTAAAACATGGAAAATGCTGAGGTTAAAACGTGGAAAACGCTGAGGTCTGAACATGGAAAATGCTTGGAAAAGGTTAAAACATGGAAGATGCTAAGGTAAATACATGGGAAATGCAAAGGTTAAACACGGAAAATGCTTGGAAACGGTTAAAACATGGAAAACGCTGAGGTAAAAACGTGGAAAATGCTGAGGTAAAAATATGGAAAATGCTGAGGTTAAAACGTGGAAAATGCTTGGAAAAGGTTAAAACATGGAAGATGCTAAAGTTAAAACGTGGAAAATGCTTGGAAAAGGTAAAAACCGACAAGCGGGAAACGTGTAACCTCTAAAGTGCGCTGAACTTCAACAATGTAACAAACGTGTAACAAACGTGTAACAAACGTGTAACAAACGTGTAACAAATGTGTAACAAACTTGTAACAAACGTGTAACAAACTTGTAACCTTGTAACCAATTTAGAAGTTGACTCTCTCTAACTGGGGCGTTTTTTTTTGGTTTTGTTTTTGGGGTTTTTTTGGGTTTTTTGGGTTTTTTTTTGTTGTTGTTTTTTTGTTTCTGTTGTTTTAAACAATCTGTCTTTAGCAGGGGTGCTGAGGAGCGCGCTGCAGGTTTTTTTTTGTTTGTTTGTTTGTTTGTTTTTGTGGGGTTTTTTGTGGGGTTTTTTTTTGCGTGGTTTGTTGTTTTTTTTTTTTTCGTGGGTTTTTTTTTCTGGGTTTTTATTTTGTGGGGTTTTTTTTTGTGGGTGTTTTTTTTGTGGGATTTTGTGGGGTTTTTTTGTGCGTTTTTGTTTTTTTTTTTTTTTGAGGTTTTGTGGGTTTTTCGTGGTTTTTTTTTTGGTCTGGATTTTTTTTGTGGGTGTTTTTTCCTGGGTTTTTATTTTCTGGGGCTTTTTTTGTGGGTGTTTTTTTTGTGGTTTTTTTTTTGTGCGTTTTTTTTGGTGTGCGTTTTGGTTTTTTTTGTTTGTTTGTTTGTTTTTGAGGTTTTGTGGGTTTTTCGCGTTTTTTTTTTTTTTCTGGATTTTTTTGTGGGGTTTTTTTGTGGGTTTTTTTTTTTTTTTTCCTGGGTTTTTACTTTGTGCAGCGTCGGGCGCTTGAATTTCCTTCTGCGCTTTGGGGCCTCCCTCCACCACCACCACTCGCTGCATGGCGAGATTACCGTACGCTGCTCAAACTCAATTTTTAGAGGAGATAATTCAAATGGAGTAGATGTGAAAGGCTTAATTTCTGATCTCCCTCGAGTCTCTGTTTGTTTTTATCTCATGGTTTGCATCCATGGCGGTGGGGTCCTGCGCAGCTCCTGTGCCCAGCCCCAGCCTGGGGATCCTGAGCTTCTCCCGCAGCTCCTTCTGCGCTTCATGGCGCCGCAATTTCCTCTCTTTCTCGGTTAAATTGTGTTTAATTAACACCCCCCGTGCACCGGGGGGCTCGGCTGGGCTGGGCGCTGCGCCAGGCTGGCGATGCCAAAGGGTTCCTCTGGTTTTTGTGCCACCTTTCCAATCCAAGCTGGGGAGGACGTGGGGGTCCCCCCCACTCAATCCCGGGGTCTCCCCCTCCTTGGGCTCCTTCTCTGGGGCGATCGGGGCCGGTTGGGTGCGTGAACCCCGCTTTTCCTGGCAGCCGGGGAGATCCCTGCCCGCAGCTTTTCCAGCCCAGCCTTCGCCCTCAACCTCGGGGCGATTTTCTCAACTTTGCCTTTTCCGTGGAACTTCAAGGCGCGTTTCCGCCGCTGCGCCGGGGGTCAACGCGGGTGCTGGATTCCACGTCTCCTGAGGGCTTTTCCTTCAAAAACTGCTTCAGCTTCAGCTGCTCCTCTCTCCTCGCCGCTCTGATGTTGGCCGTCAGGGTGGGCGTGCGGTGGGTGAGCTCCATCTCCTTCCCGCTGGCATCCGCCCTGTGGCCGTGCTCGTCCAGGATCAGAGGTGCTGGTTTGCTCTGAGCCCTCAGCTCCGCGGTGCCCGTGCCCTGCAGGCCGGCCGGTGCCAGCGTGTTGGCATTGCCAACGGGCCCTGCTCTCAGTGCCAGCCGAGCCCCGTGCCCTGCAGGCCGGCCGGTGCCAGCGTGTTGGCATTGCCAACGGGCCCTGCTCTCAGTGCCAGCCGAGCCCCGTGCCCTGCAGGCCGGCCGGTGCCACCGTGTTGGCATTGCCAACGGGCCCTGCTCTCAGTGCCAGCCGAGCCCCGTGCCCGGCCCGCAGCCCCGCACCTTTCCTGCCCTTCTCCACGGCATCCTTCATGAACTGAGGGTGCTGCCCATGCGGAGCCGCTCCCATTGGCATGAACAAGAGGAAATTTTGGGCTGTGGTCTTGGAGGGCTGATGAAACTCATCTCGTTTTTCCTCTCCTCAATCTCTTCCATGGCTGCCTCCATCACCTGGTGGATCTGGAGCGCGGTCAGCACCCCTGGGCTCTCCGATGGAGGGCCTGCAATGATTTCAGGCTCATCCTGCACCTCCTCGAAGCGCGGGACGCGCCGTTCCTGGGCCCCGGAGGGTTCCTCGGACCCCTCAGAGCCATCGCCAAGCGCCTCCTTCAGCTCCCGTTTGCGGCTCCGGTCGCTGCTGGATTTGGAGCGCCGGGAGCTCCGTCCTTCCCCCGCTGCCTCAAAGAGCTTCTCTACAAATCCCAGGGCGGAATCAGCCGGGAAGGGTTTGGGGCGCTCAGCCGCTCTTCCCCTGTCCATGCCGAGGGCTGCAGTGACCGCGGCGGGCTCGAGGAGCCGAGCACGCGTTTCACCCGCTCGGGCAGAGCCCGCTCCGCTCGGGAGGAAGCGGAAAGGCCGCGGGTTCGATCCTGGCTTCCGTCCCTCACCCCGCTCCCGCTCCCGGCCCCGGACGGAAGCGGAAAGGCCGCGGGTTCGATCCCGGGTCCTGTCCCTCACGCCGCTCCCGCTCCCGTTCGGTGGCGGCGCCTCGGGGCGGAAGCGGAAAGGTCGCGGACTCGATCCCGGGTTATCCCGGCTTCCCTCCTCCCGCCCCTCCCTCACGCCGTTCCCGCTCCCGGCCCCGCGGCCTCGGACGGAAGCGGAAAGGCCGCGGGTTCGATCCCGGCTTCCGGCACCGCTCGGGCCGCGGCGTCCCGGGTCGAGCACGGCTCGGCGGCGGCAGCCCCGCTACACGGAGCGAGCGCTCGCACACGGCGAGGCGGCGGACGGGGAAATGGTGAAATGGCCGCTATTAACGGGGTGATTTGTAACGGGGGGGGAACGGTG